CAGGGCTTCTGCATGGAAAGTATGAGCTCAGTCCTTTGAGCCATTTCCTGCTCCTTGGCAGTGTTCAGGGGCTATTTCTGGCTCTGAGCTCAGAAGTGATCTGAGACAGTGCTTAGGGGACCATCTGCAGCGTCAGGGATCAGATCAGGATCAGCAGCATACCAGGCAAGCGCCTGACTTCCAGCACTCTCTCCAGAGTACCCTTTGCTGAAGAGAAACCCCTTTCTAACCAAACTACCTTAGCTGGAAGTCAAGATACTTGACTTGAAATAATGTGAAGCACAAGTCTTCACATTATTTTTCAAAACCATTTTGGCTATTTTAGTTCCAAATAAATGTTTGGATCTGTTCATGATCACACACACACATACACACACACACACACACACACACACACACGTTGGGATTTTGGTAAAGACTTCACTGAATAAGCAATTTATTTTTTAAAACTACTATCCCTTATGGTGTCAAAAGTCAAACCTAGGTTTTCATACCTACAAAGCATTTACTTGACCACTTGAGTCATATATCCAGCTATTAGTAACAATATTGTAATTATGACTATGATTAATTTACAACACATGGTGCTGCTTGGGGCTATTCTGGCTTGTGGATGGCTCCCGGGGGTGCTCAGGGGTACACACAAAGCTGCACTCCAGTCCACGGAGCTCTTTTCCTGGTCCTCCGAATACTTTTACAAGAAAGTCCATCTTTAGCAAACGGAGTCTCACTGCTCATAAAGATCTTTACTTTCTCTCAGGAAGGTTCAGCATAACAGTCTTAAATTTCTTTTTAAATTCGTTGTTGCTTTTATCTTGCAACACTTCCTGCTAATGTCTATTTTGACTGATTTTAATATGGTGGATCAAGTTTAGCTCTCTAATGGCAACAATTTGCATAGTTGAATTTTCCATCCTCACTCTCAGCTTTTTTTTTCTTTTTTTGATCACACCTGGCATTGCACAGGGGTTACTCCTGGCTCTGCACTCAGGAATCACTCCTGGCGGTGCTCAGGGGACCATATGGGATGCTGGGAATCGAACCTGGGTCAGCTGCATGCAAGGCAAATGCCCTACCCGCTGTGCTATCGCTCCAGCCCCACTCTCAGCTTATTTTGTGTTTCAGTGGAAAGAATGCCTTTGTTAAGTCTTGTTTTGTTGTTGCTGCTACAGTGGCATCAAGGGTCACCCTTGTGCTGTCAAGAGTCACATACATTGTGTGATTATTCTGACAATTTCTACCTGTCTGAGTAAGACATTTGGTCGATAGACCTTTAGTCTAATTATTGATATGGCTGCAGGGAGCAACTCTCTACCTGGAAATGTCTTTATTTCCCCATCATATATGAAGAATACTTTTGCCACACACTGAACAATTGGTTGACAGACTTTCCTTTCAGCGTGTAGAATGAATTATTCCTCTGCCCTCTGGCTTCCGTTATTTTTAATGAGAAGTCATCCACTGATTATATCTTTGTCCTAGACATGTTGAACCACTTTTCTTTTGCTGCTTTCAAGATTTTCTTTGTCTTTCAACAGTCTAATTATACTGTATCGAGATAAAAAATCTCTTTGTGTGGGGCTGGGGAAATAGTTCAAAGGGTTGCACAGCATGCACACTACACACTGATTCCCTGGATTCAGTCTTCAGCACCTCCTAGTTCCCTAACCATACCTGGGAGTAGCCCTCAGCACCACTGGGGGTGGTCCCCAAACCAAGAAGTTTTAATATTTCAAAAACTTGGGACCATACCCAGAGGTAGTTTACCTGGTCCAAGACTAGAAAACCTGTTGCCCATATATAGTTGCTAGTCTTCACTTAATTTTTTTTTTTTTTTTTTTTTTTTTTTTGCTTTTTGGGTCACACCAAGCAATGCTCAGGGCTTTGCACTCAGGAATCACTCCTGGCGGTGCTCAGGGGACCATATGGGATGCTGGGAATCGAACCCGGGTCGGCTATGTGCAAGGCAAATGCCCTACCCGCTGTGCTATTGCTCCAGCCCCTTAATTTTTATTTTTAAGGCTGGCTTTCTAGGTAGTTAGCCTTATGTCTGCACAGCTCAGTGTTTTGGCAAAGACCAGTGAGAGGTTTTGCTAACCCCTCTAAGCCAGAAAGGCTGCTTCTCTCTGCGTCTGGCCCTGTTTATGTAGACCGGGAAGCACACTCAAACTTCAGTTTTTCCCTTCTGCTGGCTTGCACACCTCTAGGTGCATACTCAGGCTCCTGTAGTCTCTGTGGGTCTCCTGGGCACATTTGGGGTACACAAAGAGCCAGCAAACTCCTGGTGGCTATGCTACCTCCCAGTCCCTGGTCCATGGCTTGCTCCTAGGAAGACTACAAACCCAGGCTGGTGGCAGCCCTGGTAATCCCTGTGAATTTATCATGGAGACAGCTGCACTAAGAATGCCACCTAAGGTGCGAGAGACCTTTCTGAAAGCAGCAAGAAGGAGCTGTCCGATTGCTCTACCTGAAACATCACAAAGACGGAGCTAGAGAGGAGAGAATTGGAGAAACTTGAATGTGGCAAGAAGGCCACAAACTCACACTGTGCTTATCCAAAGCATTGTTGCTCTCATAAACATGTGATTCTCCATTCGCTCTGTGCTTACTGCCGATATTTAAAGAACTAAATGAATTCTGGGGGGAAGTTGGGGCCTCCACATGAGGCAGTGCTGGAGTCACTCCTGGTAGTCACCCTGGGTGGGGGGACCAGCAGTCCCAGGGATCAACCCTGGGCTCCTGTGTGCACACCATGAACTCCAGTCCCAAAACAGATACTTGTGATGGTCTTTTTCCAGCTTTCCAAGCTGCTCATTTGGTCTTGCTGAAAATTAATGTCTCAGTCACTCCTTATATTCTTCTTGAGTAACAATGACTAATATTGGGGTCAGAGAGATAGCAGGTTTTCATATTCGTGGTCCTACAGTACTTCGGGTTATAGCCCAAGCACTGCCAGGCCTAGCAGTACTGCACTGCTTGTCCCTAACCATTCAACCACCAGGCCCACAGCACTGCTACAGAGGCCCAGAGGAGAAAAAAAAATTTTTTTTAAAAATTATCAATGTTATTAAAATTACTATCATGGCTGGAGTGATAGTACAGCAGGGAGAGCACTTGCCTTGTCACCGCTGACCTGGGTTTGAGTCCCAGCACCCCATAGAGTTCCCTGAGCCCCACCAGGACTAATCCCGGAACACAGAGCCAGAAGTAAGCCCTGAACACAACTTGGTGTGGCTCAAAAACAAAGCAAAACAATTAAAAAAATATATTACCATCAGGGGCTGGAGCGATAGCAAAGTGGGTAGGGTGTTTTTCTTGCATGTGGTTGACCCGGGTTTGAGTCCCAGCAACCCATATGGTCCCCCAAGCACCGCCAGGAGTAATTCCTCAGTGAAGAGCCAGGAGTAATCCCTGTACATCGCTGGGTGTGACCCAAAAAAGCAAAAAAAAAAAAAAAAATACTATCAATGCTACTGGAAGGTATTTTTACCACATGGCTGAAAACATATCTCTGAAATCTTATTTTCAAAGGAAAAATATTTTATTTTGCTAAAAAAAATCAACAAACATCAAAGCGACTAAAGGCACAGGACTGGTTTAGGTGGTTTTTAATTTCAGACCACACTTGGCAGTGCTCGGAAGCTGCTCACTGCAGTGCTCAGGGGACCATGTGGTGCCACACATTGAACCCGGGCCACTTGCATGCAAAGCATGTGCTCAGTCTGAGCTTTTCCTCTGGTCCGATGATGTAAGGTAAAAGATAAATAAAGAAATGTCTCTCCGGGGCCAGGGAGATGGCTCCGAAGGCCGGAGACCGTGGAGCCAGGAGCCCCGTACTGCCTGATACCTCGAAGTACTGCTGTGAGGGACCCACGCCAGGAGGAATGTGGTGATGGCTCTCCTGCACAGCAGCCCCTGCCTGGTCTGAGAAATACAGTGCTCCAGGAGGAAGCAGCAGGCCCAGAGCCCTGCGGCCAGCTGTGCGCCACAGAGCTTCTGCACCTTGACTTCCCCTCCGCGGCCTTCAGCATTACCCATGAGAAATCAGGGTAATGTGTAACAAGGAAGGGCTTACGGCTGAGATTGGGGAACCACTGTATTGTGAGGGATCAAAGTGAGTCGGCCACATGCAAGGCCACATACATGTATGTACACAGTTAGCTCACCTCCAAACCACCAAAATATCCCAAACCCTTGACCAGTGCCCTAATCATTGCCAGCTCTGCCCTTTCTTCTTCCCTGGCTTTCTCGTGCCTATAATGCAGGGCAAAGTGTTCATCACATTCAGATTTCTGTTCCCCGGTATGCTATCTGTATCCCACAGGTGAGTGAGATTGTGCTACTCTACTCTACTCTTCTCCCTCTGACCTCATTCAACATGACATCAATGCCATCCGGGTGGCCGCAAACTGCATGATTCTGCCTTCCTTGGGACTGCATGGTATTCTGCTGTGAGTATATATGCCACAGTTTTATCCATTCTCCAGTGGCATGTCACATTCCTGCAACAGCCCCATTTGCCAAAGGCTCTGTCAAAGTTCCCAGCCAGCCTTTTGTCTAGTTTCCTCTATCACCTCCCAAGCACAGGCTGAGACCTATTGGGAAAACCCTTTGAGCTCTGGAAACCCCAGTGGTCCCCTGAAAAAAAAAAATAGAACTGTCCCCAAGCATCAGGAGTCTCTTATAACTAGAGAAAAGTATTGTAACCACTGATTTCCGAAGGAAAAAAGTGAGGCTCCAAGCAGTTGAGGAACAGGCCCAGGAGACGTGGCAGATAAGTGGGAAAAGATGGATGATGTGCAGATAAAACAGGGAGAGTCTCAGAAACTACTGCTTGGATGAGCCAAGGATTGACTCAAGGGACCAGAAAAGAGCTTATGAAGCTCCAAGTAGCATCCATACAGGTTGCTGGACAACAGGCCTGGAGACAGATGGCGCCCGCCTGGTTGTCCTCCTGCTGCTTCCCATCCCCTCCCCCTCCCTCTCACCCCCCTCCTTACCTTTGCAAAGAAAATCCAGGCTGCACACTGTGCAGGGGCCATGAGGCTTCGTAGTTTCACGGTGCTGACCACGAGGAAGAAGCCCAGCACTCCACTGGAGGAAGAAAACACTCTCAGCAGGGCTCATCTCCCGTCCACTACAAGCTCATACTCACCGTTCCATGCGCCCAGTTTCTTATTATCACACTGCTTCTACCTCATCTCGTGACCTCTGAGTATAAACTGCCCCAAAGTTAAAACCCATTGAGTTCCCCAGTGCTCAGGGATGATGAGGAGGGTATTTCAGTGGAGAGGGATTGGGGAAACCTCTGGATAAGTCATTAAAAAAGAAAAAGTGTAGGAAAATAGTTCTGCTCTCTCTCATGGTACTTCTAGAGCTTGGTGCATCCTGAGGCAGAATTTCAATTATCCCTGACAATTTGAATTACCCCTGACAAAGCTTAGCATATCTTGCAGGCCATAGGCCTGACATACATGGGTCAGGTTTCCAAGGAAGCAGGTTGAACAGAGTTCAAACTCCAAGGGGCTGAGACAATAGCCCAGTGAGCACTTGCTTTGCATGAATGTGGTTCTGAGTTCAATCCCTGGACACACCCCCAAAACACACACACACACACACACACACACACACACACACACACACACACCAATACCTCCACTACCACGTCTTTTAAAAAAAACACAGCGGGGTCAGATTTAGTTTAACAGCCACATCAGAGTTTCGGTTTGTTTTTTGTGGGCCTAGCTGTGGTGCCCAGGCTCTGTGCTAAGGGGTGATCCCTGCTCACAGGGAACCTTATGTGGTGCTGGATATTGAAACTGAACCAGCTACTGTAGGCGACCACCTTGCTCCTGGATTATTTCTCTGGTCCCTACACCACCTACTAGGGGCCACCCAGAGCCTGACACTGGCTTTCCCCGGGGTGCGTCCCGCTGACCTGGCAAGCCGCAGAGCTGTGCAGCTGCGTATCCTCAGTCCTTCAAGACTAGGCAGCTCTATACATGGACGCCCACCTGGCAAGAGGTACTTGTGGGCAAGGAGCCGGCTGGACATCCTGCTGTGGGTTGTGCCTGCTGCCCCTCACCACCAGGAGTGAAATGCAGCCTCTTTACTTACCCCTTTTGGCCCTTCCTGGGTCCAAGTCTTGCCCAAGCCTCCCTTGTTTCATTCCTAGCAAACTGAGCTCCGGGCCCCAGGAGGAGTCAGGTCTTTGACCATTTCTTTTTTTTTTTTTTTTTTTTTTTGGCTTTTTGGGTCACACCCGGCAATATTCAGGGGTTATTCTTGGCTCTGCTCTCAGGAATCACTTCTGGTGGTGCTCGGGGGACCATATGGGATGCCGGGGATCGAACCCAGATTGACCGCAAGCAAGGCAAACATCCTACCCACTGTGCTATTGCTCCAGCCCCTCCTTTACCATTTCACCCTTCACACTGCACCCGGGGAACGGGGAACGTTGTCTTGGCCGGGGAGCACTTGCAAGAGGCATGCTGCTGAGAGGTTGGGAGGGATGCCCAGAGGGGGCACCCTTTGGGTGCTCGCACCTTTGTACCCCCTGAGGGCACAGCTCTGGGCCGTCTCCCATCCCGCCTCCCTTCCTGGGCCTTCTTTCTCCTTCCTGCTGAGGCCACAGCCAACACACAGCCAGTGTTCAGGGCTCCATATGCCCAGTTACACCATCTCCGTACTGGTTTTATCTCCCCATTTTTCACACATGAGAAAAACTAAACTTTGGTTTGGCAGAGAATTTGCCCCAAGATCATAGAATCAGCAACGCAGGCGACTCTGCTCTGGCCGGGGCCTCCTTCCACCAACTTGATCTGGGCTTTGGGCTCAGCAGAGAAGAGCAGCTCAGTGTAATAAATTCATAAACACTAAACTAGGGGTCGGGAAAGGAGAAGGGGGAGGGGTGGTGGAGAGCGGCTGTGTCTCTGAACAGATGCACTTCACTGGGCTCCACCTCTAACTTCCTCAGACCAGACAGGAAGGATGGGCTGTCTTGTGCAGTGGGCCTCATTTCTGTTTTCTGCAATCTGTTTCTTGGAGTCTTAGAGCTTTGTCAAACTTTTCTGGAGGTCTTCAGGATCACAAGGGAGGTCAAGGTAGCAGCCCAGAAGGTGGGATTCTGGACCTGAATTCTCCCTGGTAGCCAATCTGTTATATTGGCTCAGTAGATTGAAATTCTATGACAGATTAGCCGGTGGAGAAAACCCCAATTGGGTCTCTAGCTCTCCACATGTTTAAACACCACTGTGATGGCTAAAAAAGGGTGAAATGGTGCCAGAGGACGCTGGCCCTCTGAGATCTGAGCTGTCTGCAGCTCCCCTGAGCCCCGGCCAGTCGAAGGGCAGCTTCCCTGAGCATCACTGAGGAGAGACATGGGCGATGCAGAGACAGATGTGAGCTTTGTGAGAGGGGCATGGGGAGATTACCTGGCGCAGCAGCTGCCATGGAATCTGTAGAAATTCAGAAACGGGAAGTCCAAGACATTGGGGAGATCACCTGAGAAGCAGAGCAAGGGTGAAAAGGGGACCCCATGCTCCACCCCCAACCCCAAGCGCCCAACACATCAGACAAGGGTATTCAGCTCAGGGGCTGGAGCAATAGTACAGCGGGTAGGGCGTTTGCCTTGCACATGGCAGACCCGGGTTCGATTCCCAATATCCCATATGGTCCCTGAGCACTGCCAGGAGTAATTCTTGAGTGCATGAGCCAGGAGTAACCCCTGAGCATTGCCGGGTGTGACTCAAAAAGAAAAAAAAAGTATTTAGCTCAGTTGTACTGCGAATTCTAGCTCCCAGCCTGAGTCCACTGGCTCTACTCGGCTTTCCCCAGTGCCCTGGGGAGCTGGCCCTGAGAGGGCCCTAAACCCCTGCTGTTCTGCACATCCTCTCTCTTCCTGCTCCAGAAAATTCTATGAAGGTTCCTTCTCTCAACTAATTAGTTCTGTTTTGTTTTGGCAGGCGATGCCTGGCTCAGTGATCAGAGGAACTCATGGTGCCGGGCTCAAACCCAGAGCTCTCACGTGCAAAGCCTGTGCTCAGTCCTTTGAGCCATCTGCTGGTCTATCATCGTATCTGAACCAGAGCTCAGAGACTAAAGAACTTAGGCTAACACAAGAAGAATGTGTGTGTGTGTGTGTGTGTGTGTGTGTGTGTGTGTGGTGTGTGTATGTGTGAGAGAGAGAGAGAGAGAGAGAGAGAGAGAGAGAGAGAGAGAGAGAGAGAGAGAGAGAAGAAAAACACCTGCCATAGAGGCAGACAGGGAGTGAGGGTGGGGGGTGATAGGCAGGAACCTGTAGACACTGGTGCTGGGAAAGGTGCACTGGTGGAAGGATGGGTTTTGGAACACTGTTTGACTGAAATCTAATCATGAACAGCTTTGTAAGGGTCTATCTCACAGTGATTCAATAAAAAAGTAAAGAAAAAAAAAAGAACAAGATTACACAACCTAATGTTGGAGCCAGAACAGACCCCAGGCATCCATCTCAGCACCCTCACCGGGCAGTCAGCCCTGCCCAAGGCAGAGTGGAGGACAAAAAGATTCTTTTTAAGATTGTTCTATTCTTCTCTGCCTCACATCTATTAAAAGATTGTGAATAATGCATACCCCTGACATCTTTTTATTTTCTCTTTTCATTTTTTTGTCTTTAATTACATAACTGGTTCAGGGTGACTGCACATACTCATTTTAATGTAAGGTCCAAAGGGTACATTTATTTCTAGTGAAGTAAGTTCATTCTTTTAGTTCCACTTGGGGCAAGAGGAAACAATCACGCATACTGGCCGCTTCCCTCCCTGGAATTTGAACTTGGTCACAAACAAGAAGTCAGTAGATTAAAAAAAGCAGAAAGCCTTCCAAAAATGTCCAGAGAAAGGGAATTAAGCATTTCCACAGCAGATTGCTTAATTCTTCCAGAGCTGGAATTTCTGGGAAAGTGGACCTGGAAGGGCCGGGCCTTCCAGACCCCTGCAGGGTCAGTGCCTCAGCTGTGGTGGGTGGACAGGGAGGTCAGTGCAGAGCCTCACGCATGCAGTTTTCCCCACCTGCAAACATGGCGGGACCCTACCACGTTAACCCAGCTGGGAGATGGCCCCCTCCCAGGGGGCACTGGAGCACAACGGGTGGGGGGGGTGGTAACAGCCGGGTTGCAATTGGGGGGTTGTTTTCTGTATGTTCACTTTAAGAAGTTAGTTTCTAGGGAACCTGCTGAATGATTTTGCTTCTGAAAAGGAGGGAGGCCTTAGGTCAGATAATGGTTGTTACTGTTTTTGCTACCTAAGGGGCTCTGCCAGTCCATATTTTTATTAAGGCACCATGCTTTCCAAAGCTGTTCATAATACAGTTCCGGGAGTGCAAAGTCCCACCACAAATCCCACCTCCTGCTTCGACTTCCCTCCCTACCCAGGCCACTCCCACCCCCAGCAGCCTCTCTGACTGGCACCTTGGAATGTGTGCTGTTGTAGTTAGGGTCTCCTGCTACAGTCACTCTGTGGTCTGTGGTTTAAATCCCATACATGTCCCATACCCATATGCCATGGGACATGCTGTGTGCAGTGGAGCCGACGGGTTAGAATAATATCACATTATTATGTGGTGGTGGCCTATGGGAACCTCGGACCTAATCCATTTCAAATTACCCAACTTTCCCTTTATTGGCAGGGGTGTGTGTGAGTGTGTGTGTGTGTGTGTGTGTGTGTGTGTGTGTGTGTGTCTTGCAGGAGGTTTAAAACTCTCGTTCTTCCTGCCACTCTGCTACAGGACCCTGCCCTCCGCTCCCCAGACCCTGTGTTGTCGGTAGAGGCCTGCGGAAGCACAGGCGGCTCAGACACCAGCGCTGCGGGAGCTCCTTCGATTGTGGGGGTCTCTCACCCCAGAAATGACAGTGGAGGCTCTGCCCCGGCGGGTGAAGAGCGTCCAGAAAGGATTTGCTCTGTCCTTGGCAGCTGCAGGAGCCTGGCGCTTTCCTGACCTCCAAGTCTGTGCCCGAGAGCCTTTGGTGTGGTAATGACGAATGTCAGAGGAGCAGCGACATCACCCCAGGAGCTGGCTCTGCTCCATGCAGCCTTTCCTCAAACACTACAGGGAGGGGCGGGCAGGGCGGGAGCTTCTCACATGCTCACTCAGCTCTACATGGTCTCTCTACCCCACCGGGAGTGAGCCCTGAGTGCAGAGCAGCGTCAGCTCTGAGCACCAACAGGCGTGTCCCCCCAGAAGACTGCAGTGAGGAGAGCCAGACCCAGGAGCAATGCGAGGACCCTTAAGGTAGTTCCGGCTATGGGAGGGGTCTGAGAGAAAGCGGGAAAGGAAACAAAGAAAATCACCATAGCCTCAGGAAATGCGCCAATTATATAAAGACCCCCACCTGACCCATCTCCTGAAGGGGTCCTGAGAAGCGAAATAGAAAGCACACTTTAAGTCTGATGTTTGGGGGCTTTGTTCTTTGTGGGGGGGGAGTTGGGGGCCACACCCAGCTGTGCTCAGGGATCACTCCTGGAGACCCTGGGGGGGTCTGTCTGTGGTGCCTGGGATGGAACCCAGGCGTGAGAAAACTTCTAGCATGCAGAAGTCCTTGAGTTCTCAGCCCACCAGTCTGGATGTAAACCACTTACAGCTTCCCCAAGACAGTCACCCAGCCTTGCGGGATGGCCACCAAGGCCCACAGAGATGGGGCAGTCCTTCACTCAGGAGCATGAACTAGAGCAAGGGAGGCCATGGCCCTTGTCACGAGGCCAGCAGACGCCTTCACAGAAGGCCAATGAGTTAGAGCTCTTCCAAGATTCCTCAGATCCGACAGCCAGGAGCCTTCCAGAGAAGGAGCCAAGACCCTCTGAGTGACCTCACGGTCATCTGCCCACCACAAAGCCTCCATCCTTGGGACCACATAAGGCAAGGCAGGGGAGGTCAGCAGTGGGTGTCCACTCTCTTCCTTTTAAACTAAAAATATAATGGAAGCGAAATTAATCCATACAAATATCCTTCTCAAACACCATTGGGATTCAAACAGTTTCTCAAGAGAGAAGTCCTTTCCAAAAAATTTCCTATGCTTCTTTGTATTGCAACACAGTTCACATACTTTGAATTTCACATACACCCCTTTTCGGTGTTAAGTCACTCTTTAAAAACATACAATTATATATAATATATATATGTGTGTGTGTGTGTGTGTGTGTGTGTGTGTGTGCGTGCACACACACACAAACACAACTCAGAGTTTTTAGGATATTCTCAGGGTTGTACAATAATCACCACTACCCAATTTCATCACATTGTTGTTTGGGTCACGTTTGGCAATGCTCATAATTATCATTTCAAAAAAGAGCTATAGCCTATTTTCATTACCCTTTACTCTAATTGATCTGAAGCCTAATGCTACTAAGACATACTTCTAGTGTAAGCACCCAGAGACTCTGTGCATTGACGAAAAGTTAGTGACACGGGTTTCCCCCCTATCCAAAAGTCAAATGTTCCTCATCACTTATCATCAGAGAAATCCAACTCAAGACAACAATAAGATACCATCTCACACCAGCGAGAATGGTACATATCAAAAAAAGTAGGAACAATCTATTGGCAGGGATGTTGTGAAAAAGGAACTCTCAACCACTGCTGGTGGGAATGTTGTCTGGTACAAACCCTATGACAAACAGTATGGAGAATTCTCAGTAAACTTAGAATTGAACTTCCGTATGACCCAGCAATTCCATTTTTGGTAGCACAGCAGTAGGGCATTTGCCTTACAAGCGGCCAACATGGCCAACCCGAGTTCGATTCCTCCGCCCCTCTTGGAGAGCCCGGCAAGCTACCGAGAGTATCTCACCCGCACGGCAGAGCCTGGCAAGCTCCCCGTGACGTATTCGATATGCCAGACACAGTAACAACAAGTCTCATGATGGAGACATTACTGGGCCCACTCGAACAAATAGATGAACAATGGGAGGACCGTGACCATGACCGTGACCGCCCCCAAAGACATAAAAACACTCTCTCAAAAGAACATATGCACATAATTATTCATTGCCTCTTCCAATACTATAGCTAAGATATGGAGTTAACCTAGTGTCCAACGATAGATGAATGGATTAAGAAGATGTGGTCTATATATACAATGGAATACTGTGCAGCTGCAAGGAACAATGATATCATGCCATTTGCTGCAACCTGGTTGGAACTGGAAGATACCATGTTGAATGAAGTAAGCAGGAAAAGAAAGACAAACACAGGATGTTCTCACTTATCTGTGGAATATAGAGTACTGGATGAGGAAATATATTGTAGTAAAAGGTGGATGCCCAGATTACCCTGCACCTCAGTGTTTAAAGAGAAGGACAGAGAAGGAAAGAAATCAATGGGGTGGGGAGGGGAGAGAGAATGGGAAGTCATGGGTGAACAGGCACCAGGGCTTCAGTTTTACTGGTGATCTGGGTGAGGGGTATGGCCATATTTCCAAAAAACAGACTCAACAAAACTGGACACATGAGATCTAAACTGCACCCACGAAAACTTTTTAATATGCCTATCAAACTGATGGGCAGAGATGGGGTGGGTGTTGGTGTAGTGACAGAATATGTGAACACTGGTGGAGGGAAGTTGACATTGGTGGTGGGATTGGTGTTGATATATTATATGCCTGAAACTCAACTATTAATAATGTTGTAAATCATAGTTTTTTTTTTCTCTTTTGAGCCACATCCAGCAATGCTCAAGGGTTACTCCTGATTCTGCACTCAGGATTTACTCCTGGTGGCGCTTGGGGGACCATGTGGGATACCAGAGATTGAACCCGCGAAGCCAGGTCGGCCATGTGCAAGGCAAATGCCCTATTTGCTGTTCTATCTCTCCGGCTCCAATCATAATTTAAAAAAAAAAAAGTGGAACATTTCTATTTGGTAGGATTTGGGAGGTCATTTCACACGGGAGACTTCTTTTAGAATTCACATGGCAGGAATGGCCTTGTGTATAGTAAAGGAAAGCTGGAAATGTAGGGATATTTGTCAAAATTCAAAAACCAGCAATTACTATCCTCAGAAACAGATGGACAAAAACATCTGATCAAGGAAATTTCCAGAAAAAAATGTAAAACATCAAAGTATTTGTTTACTCAGGAGACTTTATAAAAAAAAAGTATAAGAGCACTGAGGGGAAAAAAAAACCAACAAATCTTAGAGGGCCAGGAAACTAGCTCAAGATGTACAGCACATGCCTGGCATGCATGAGGTCCCTGACTTCAATCCCTGGAGCCATCTGGTCCCCCAAAACTACAAGCTATAACCACAGTGTCCCACAGCACCACTGGGCCTGGGCCCTATTACAGAAATGACAGAAAAGACAAAGCCAACACACACTGCTCCTACTACTTCTGACGTGCCAATCTCACTGGTGTGACATGGCATCTCATTGTCCTCTTGATTTGGATTTCTCTGATGCTGAACATTTTTTTGTGTGGCTACTGACCGTCTGCCTGTCTTCCTCTGAGAAGTGTCCATTCATTTCCTCTCCCCATTTGTTGATAGAGCTTTTGAATTATGTTGCTGTTGTTGATAATAGTTGTGAGTACTTTATATATCCTTGATATCAAACCTTTACCTGATTATTGAATGCAAATATTTTTTTCCATTCAATTAGCTAGCTGTCTTTTAGTTTTAGCCTGAGTTTCATTTGCAGAAGTTCTTTAATTTTATGTAGCCCCATTTGTTTATTTATTTATTTGCTTTTTGGGTCACACCCAGCGATGCTCAGGAGTTACTCCTGGCTTTGCACTCAGGAATTACTCTTGGTGGTGCTCGGGAGACCATATGGGACGTTGGGAATCGAACCTGGGTCAGCCGCGTGCAAGGCAAACGCCCTACCCGTTGTGCTATCACTCCAACCTCCCCATTTGTTTATTTTTGATTGATGTTGAATGATTTCCTATCTAAAACTCAACTGTCAGTAATTTTGTAAAAGTCATGGTTGTAAATCATGGCTCTTTAATAAAAATTAAGAAAAACAAAACAAAGAAAAGAGAAGGCCAGGAAGCTCCCCGGAGGACCCCCTCCACCCCCCTCAGCGGCTCCCTGGTCTGGAGTCCTCTCTCCAAACACCTCTCGACTCCTGGCGCTTCCGGCCGCTTCCTTGTGAGGAGAACAAGTTCGCACCTTAGCGTCTCAGGAGGAATTCCCTCCTGCTCTCATCATTATCAAAGTGTAACAACCAACCAGGCACAAAACAGGTAAAGCGATCATAATTTTTCTTTTCTTTTTCTTTTCTTTTTTTTTTTTTTGGCGGGGGGGAGGGGGGAATCACCAGGGGTGCTGGGGCCTCGTGTGCTTCAGAGGCTCTGTAGAGCCAGGGATGGCACTCTAGAGCCCTGAGCAGGCAGGCGAGCCCTCCAAGCCCTCCAGCCAGCCCCCCAGTCCCTGCAGGGATTGATTTAGGTGAAATTATTTATCCAAACCCACTAGAAAATCACTTAGGGAGTAAAGGAATATACGAGTCAAAGAGAACCAGGGAGTGTGACTTTCCAAAGGCCTTGGAGAAAAGCATTTCAAAGGAGATAGAGAGAGAGAGAGAGAGAGAGAGAGAGAGAGAGAGAGAGAGAGAGAGAGAGAGTGTGTGTGTGTGTGTGCGCGCGCATGTGTGTGTTGGGGTGAGCGGGGCACTTAGGTTCAAGATATTCTGTTGGCTGGCATCCTCCTGGCTGTGCCAGGAAAGACAACAAGTGTGATCTGGTGTGGGAAGGGGCTAGGACAGCAGAGCCACAGAAGCTTTAGTAACTCAGGGTTCATAGTTTAATAGTTCCTGACTGTGTCAGGAGTGGTGGTCCCCAGGGGACCATATCCAGAACTTGGGGTTAAATTAGGTTGGCTGTGTGTAAATCAAGTGCCTTACCCCCTGTACTATCTCTACAGGCCCAAATGCATGAATTAAAGGAGACACCAAGAGACAAGTGTAAGTGGGAATCATTAGGGTTAACACCATGGTTTTCTATAATTTAGTACTTGAAGGTAGGACCCTGAGACCTGCTAGTGGTGAGGATGTTTGCTGCATGGTTATGAAATAGTACCAGGCTGTAGGAGTGGACAGAAAGAAAGGACATGTGTCTGTGTGGACAAGAATAATGCACTGACAGAAAGTCATTTAGACTGTCTTATGAGTATCAGTAATCAGAAACAATACTAGAGGCAGATCCTCATCAATCCCTGCAGTTATTAGCTCAAACAGTATGAAGCAACTAAAAACACTAGCAGAAGCTGTTCACTGTTTGGTTTTCTTGTTTTGTTTGATGTTGTCTTTGTTTTTGCTCTTGGGTCACACCTGGAGGTGCTTGGTGCTGGGGATTGGGGTCAACTCCTGGCATGTGTGTGTGTGTGGGGGGGGTCCCTCTCCAGCATGCATTACTGAGGATCAAACTGGGGCTCCAGCAGGCAAGGGATACACAATATCCCTTTGAGTCATCCCCAGCCCATTGTTTTCTTTTCTTTTTTTTTTTTTGCTTTTTGGATCATACCTGGCAATGCACAGGGGTTACTCCTGGCTTTGCACTCAGGAATTACTCCTGGCGGTGCTCAGGGGACCATATGGGATGCCGGGAATCAAACCCAGGTCAGCTGGTGCAAGGCAAACCCCTACCTGCTGTGCTATTGCTCCAGCCCCCCAACCCCCAGCCCATTTTTTAAAACAAAGTATGAGAACTAGAAGGGACTGGGACAGTGATCCAACCACCTTTCACATTTTACAGAAAATAGAGGCTCAGGAATTCCCAAGAGGTTGGTTAACTCCATATATACAGCAAATGGTCAACAAATATTAACTTATGGAGCTTGACCATTAAAACCGGTCTTTTCAGTCAGATATTATTGTCTCATCTTTGGTATCAACACTAAGAAGAGTTTTGTTGAGTCTGCAAAGCATCTGGAGGATAGAGGAGGCAGCAAGGGTTTTCACTGAAAGTGGAATTTCAGAATTTCATTGAACGTGGAGTTAGGAAAATTATATTCTAACGTGTGATAAGATGTTGGCATGATATAGGGAAAATTTGAATTTTTTACCAAATATTATTTACCAAATATTGGGCTGGAGCGATAGCACAGCGGGTAGGGCATTCGCCTTATAAGCAGCCAACATGGCCGACCCGAGTTCGATTCCTCCGCCCCTCTCGGAGAGCCCGGCAAGCTACCGAGAGTATTCGATATGCCAGACACAGTAACAACAAAGTCTCCAATGGAGACGTTACTGGGCCCGCTCGAGCAAATCGATGATCAACGGGAGGGCCTTCACCTTTACCTTTACCTTACCAAATATTTAGCATGAGAATTGCAGAACAATTCTAAGTGCTTAGAGGACTTTAGAAGAGGACAACATAAGCACCGTCTACTTAGGAGCCCATAAGCAGCCTGCAATCTGCACATGGTGGATGAAAAGGTAGGCAACAAAATGTAAGAAGGGATAAGGCAAAATTTATGGGCTGAAAAACCCATCAACAGGGGCTGGAGAGATAGCACAGCAGGAAGGGCTTGCTCTGCACACAGTAAACCTGGGTTCTAACTCTGGCACCCAAAGGGTCCCCCAGTCCCTATCAGGAGTGAGCCCTGAGAACAATGTAGGAGTAAGTTCTGAGTACTGCCAGGTGCAGCCCAAAAAGCAAACACAAAACAAACAAAAAACAATGATTATCAGTAGTTATCATTTTTTGTTTTGTTTTACTTACGGGACATACATGGCATTGTCCAGGGACTACTCCTGGCTCGGAGCTTGGGGGAGGCTCCTGGTGGGGCTTGGGGGACCATTCAGTGCCTGGGGTCCCACATAACACATGCTCCAATCCTTTGAGCCATCTCCCCTCCCCCCCTTTTTTAACCCCAGGTTGCTTGGGATGGTACGCAAGGCTTTAATAAGCAAAAGCAAGTGTTCTGCCACTGAGACGCTGGTTAGCATTGACAGTTTCAACTCCAACCTCACCCCAGCTACTGGATAACATCTTGTCTAGCAAATGTCCCTCAGAGATAAGAACCAGGTCACAGCAAGGCCTGAAGGAGCTATACAGCACATTCAAACCAAGTCACCCGAACAGTCTACACTTACCTGTAGGATGAGCTGCAAACACCAGGACCCCAGCACTGCGAAGGGAATCAGAGAGTCATCAGAAAGTTTCCCCACGCCAGGCCTGATCATACCCACCAGTCCCACACAGTGGGCCCAGTCCATCTTTCCTGGGAAGAGTGAAAATATGCTGGCACTCCCTCGGGTTTGGGCAGAAGCGTAAAAGGTTTCACCCCACACAGAATGAGCATCCAGGGGGCTGGAACAATAACACAGTGGGTACGGCATTTGCCTTGTACATGCTAACTAGGTTTGATTCCCAGCATTCCATATGGTCCCCCAAGCACCGCCAGGAGTGATTCCTGAGTGCACAACCAGGAGTAAACCCTGAGCATCACTGGGTGTGACCCAAAAAGCCAAACACACACACACACACACACACACACATACACACACACACAACCAGAATGAGCATTCAGGCCCCACTGAATGATCAAAGTTATCTCCTCTTGGTTCTTGGTAGCTAAACAAAGCAGATTCCAGTTGGGGCCAGGGAGATGGTACAGAGGGATGGGCCTTTCATACAGTGGACCTAGGTCTGATCCCTGAGTGCAGAGCCAGGAGTAAACCCTGAGCATTGCCGGAGGTGGTCCAAGAACCAATAAATAAATAAATTACAAATTATCTGCACTCTATGAGCTGGCTGCTGGTGTGAGCTGAATCTGTTTTTGCCATGAAATTCATGGATGAGTTATTTCCAAGCTAGTCCAGACAAGGATCCCATTTCCCACATGTCTGAAAACTGCACAGACTGTTTTATAATTGATGTTGGAAGAACAGGCAGGAAAGAAAGCAAACTTTTGTTGTTGTTGTTTGGGGGGAGAAATGCACACCTGGTGATGTTTGGGGGCTACACCTGGTTGGATGCTCAGGGGTCACTGCTGGCTGTGCTTTGGGGACCATGCAGTTCTGGGGATCAAACCTGGCCTCCCAGGAGAAAAGCAGGGACACTAGCCCTTTGAACTATGTCCCTGGTCCCTAAACAACAGATTTTTAAAATTCATTCATTCAATAAATATTTATCCAGTTACTGGAGAAGACTTAGAAATGTTCAAAACCGAGGACATTGCAGTGAACCAAAACATTCCTCCACGCAAGGGGAATAATACAGAGATAAGCAAGGAACATCTACCCTTCCTGGGGTAATCCCACTCAAAATTGTGCCATGGAGGCACAATTTCACCTGCAATATAAGTGGTGCTTGAGTAGGAAACATTACACCAATTTTCTATTAAATCAATAAGAAACTGGTGTCTGCTTGTGTTAAAAAAGTGGAATAAATCCTGAAGACAGGCTCAGGGAGTGACAGGATTGTGGGCACACTGGGGCGGGGAAGTCCAGGGCACAGAGGGGGTCGTGGGCTCTGGGAAGAAACATCCCCTTAGCCTCATGCGCTCCATATTCTGAGGAGCTAGAGTGGCCTTCACAGGAAGGGAACCCTCCTCTAGTGGGTCCTTGACAGGGTTCTCACGGATGACTTCACATCGGCTCAGAGCTCCCTGAAGAAGTTATTAGGGTGGGGGAGGGGCGGTGGGGGAGGGGAGATCTACTAGCCCTGGAAGAATCTGAGACAGTCTTCGAAAATATAAATGATTCTTACCTGAATATATAGTTTAAGTACTGCTGGTCAAGGTCACTGAAAAAGACAAAGTCCAAGAGTGCATATGAAATAACAGAAAATGCAAAAACAGTTATGTACTTCACTAAGTTGTATCTATAAGTTACTATATTTTCAAATTATCAATAAATAGTTTGATGACCACTTTAAATATAGATGCAAATAATGTGTGTGCATGTGGGTGTGCATTAATGCATGTGTGTGTATACGTGTATGTGGGTGGGTGAGTGTGTGTGCACGTGTGTGCGCGCATGTGTGTGTGCATGCATATATGTGGCGTGTGTGTATGTGTGTGTGTGTGTGTGTGTGTGTACACGCGCCCACGCACTTTTGGGATAAGCCCAAGGCCTCATACTCTAGAAGCATGTTTTTACCAGTAAGCTAATCCTTGGACCTGCAGGCTACTTTATATTGATAAGTAGTTCCTGATTCCTTTTAAAAAGATATTTCCTAGCCCACTACTATCATGCATGTTTTCACCTATGACAGATTATTTTCTCTGTGTACATTTGCTACTTTTGAAAGAATATAAACTCTCTCAGGTCACTGCCTGCCTTCTAGGACCACCACACAAAAATACAAGACACCCAAGTAAATTGGAATTCCTGATAAAGAATCATATTCTGGTATTAATTGGTTCTAAATAATGGGTAAGCAACTTGGCTGAAATTCAAATTTAAAATACGGGGCCTCCTGTATTTTATTGGGTGGCTCCACTGGCTTCTGGGTGCAAAATCCCTGTGTTCACTGATTGGTTTTGGGCCAGACCAGGCTCAGCTCTCAGATGCTGTTCCTAGGAGAGCTGATAGGCCACCAAGCGGCACCAGGGATCCAACCCAGGCTCCTGTGTGCAAAGCATACACTGCAACCCTCTGAGCCATCTCCCCAGCCCTGAAAAGTCCCATTATTAAAAGGATAAAAGATGACTCCACCCTCAGTCACACATCTCCCAGGAGGCCGGGCCTGGGACCAAGAGGTCAATTGGGCCAGCCTGGGCTCCCTGACTTTGTGACTCCCACCTGGAGGGCAAGGCTGGAATTGGCATCTTCTCCATTCACATTCACCAAGGCCTGTCCATTCAGTGTCCACCACAAAAGCCTCATCTTTTTTTCTTTTCCCTTTATTTTATTTTATTTTTTTTTACAGTTGTAGATTTACAATTTTTTGTGCTTTGGTTTCAATTATACAATGATCAGATACCCATCCCTCCACCAGTGCCCATTTTCCACCACCATGGATAATATCCCTCCCACCCCCATCCCCCCAACCCCCCTGTCTCTGTGGCAGGGCAATCCCCTGTGTTCTCTCTCTCCGTTTGGGTGTTGTGGTCTGCAAAAGAGGCATTGAGTGGCAAACATGTTCAGTCCATAGTCTACTTTCGACATGCATCTCCCCTCCTGGGAGGATCCTCCAAACATCCTTTATTTGGTGCTCCCTTCTCTATCTGAACTGCCCTTTCCTCTAGGATACCCGGCTGGGCTCTAAGTTATGGAGTAATCCTCCTGGTGCTGATCTCAGCTATTCTTGGGTATTAATCTCATACTTTGTTACTTTATATCCCCCAGATGAATGCAATCTTTCTATGTCTATCCCTCTCTTTCTGACTCATTTCGAAAAGCCTCATCTTACCCAAGAAAAGAGTTAGTTGCTGGAGAGAATTCAGTCTAAACTAAGTCAGGTTAGGAAGGGGCCAAGGAAATGAGAACAAAAGACAATGGAGTTTTCTGCTTCTAAGCTGTGTGTGTATGTATGTATGTGTGTGTGTCTGTGTGTGTGTGTGTGTGTGTGTGCGTGCGCGCACGCACGCGTGTGTGTTTGGTGCTGGGGATCAAACCCCCGGCCTCATACCTAGTAGGCACATGCTCTACCATAAGGACATCCTAGCCCCGGGCTACATAATTCTGCTAAAATGTCATCTAAACTGCTGCCCCTCAGCAAGAGGCCAGACATCTGCTCTCCATAGGCAGTGGGGAGACCCAGCATCAGAGACAATGGTTTTGGGGTACCCCGCCTGTCGCCTGCACTGAGCCAGATACGGAAGCAGCTCATGAGAGCACGTGTCTCACCCCTTCTTTGAACTGAATGCTACTGTGCAAACTTTCTTCTTTGTCATTGTCTTGTTTCCCCTTGGGGGTGGTGGACACCCAGCAGTGCTGCAGGGGGACAATGTGTGGTTCTGGGGACCAAATCCAGGGTCCCCACAGTCTAAGCATGTAGCTCTATAAGCCATTTCCCAACCCCCAACTCCCCAGACTTTCCAAGTTTACCTTAATGCACTGGGTTTCTGGGACTTCCGTAGTGTCTTATAAGCCCCTGGGGGGGGGGGGGGGAAAGAAGAGCTGGTGAAGGGAGAGCACCATTCACTGTGGGGCCGGGCTGGGCAGTGACCTTCCGCTCTGTCCATGCTTGGCAGGGGTGACACACAGCACTGAGGAAGGTTCCGAGAAGCCTGCTTACCAGTCCCCAGTGAGGATGAGCTCAGGAGAGAGGGTGTGGGGGCGGGAAAAGGTCTCAAGCACCAGAAGGCTTCCTCTTCCCCGGGAGAGAGAAAGAGGAAGGCCCCAGGGTATCTGGACTCTGTGGGGACCCCCAGTCCCACCCCCACCCAGCACTGCAGACAGCACACAAGGACTGCAGGGTTAAACATCTGGTCATTTTAAATTTAAATTTGATTCCACACCCTTTTTTTTTTTTTGTGGTGGTGTTTTGCTAAAGAATGTTCTGGACACCAACTTCCAGATCTCTTCCCACCTTTTCAGAGAAGATCAAGTTGCATTTGCCACCTGGACACGGTTGAGCAAAGCCTGAGCCAGGGAGAATGAATTCATGTAAAATCAGCAAAACAAAGAGTCAAGGCTGGGAAGGGAATTGCTGGAGAACTCCAAAACTAGCCAGTCGAATTGGAAAATGCCAGTACATGCCATTCGGCTTTAGATAACTCTCTGTACTGAACTGCCCATAATCCAAGTCACTGAGAAGTGGAAATGCAGGAGGAGTAAATAATAACCCTTCATTACTGAAGCAACCGTTCCTTTGAAACTTACCTACACAGAATAAGTGAATGATAGCCCAGAAATAGCCATCCGGATTGAACTGTAACACAGGGTTTCAAGAAAATGATTATGCTGTAAACCACAGTATCTCAACACAAATGGGGGGAGGATTTCTAATGCTAGAACGTATATTATCAATCTAAAATAATAGTACTTATTCTCTTTGTCATTATATATAGAAGTTGATGTGCAAGGCATACATGAAACTTATGTAACACCGTAGAACAAAGTAATTTCTGTACAAATATTTAAAAATGGTTAGCCCCAAGGAAACAAAGCAAGGCCAGATTGTGCGCTGAATGTGGCCCACCCACCCCCGCTCACTCCCCACCAGGGATCTCTTGATCACAGAGCCAAGAATAGCCCCCGAGCACTGCCAGGTGTGGCCAACCCCTCTTATCAAAAAAAACGGCTGTAAGTGCTTTGGCTGTCCCACGTCTGTGGTTTCCTGGGCAGTAGTTTCAGCTATCTCCGGGAATAATACCAGTCTGAAAACACAGGTACGAGATTTTTTATTTTGTTTTGGAGTCACAACGGCAGCACTCAGGACCCTCAGCACTTTGAGCTGGGGACCCAAACCACGGGGCATCCTACGTGCAAAGCACTCATCCCAGCCCCCCTCCCCACATCCCAGATCCTGCATCCCAGACCCTGTATCCCAGCCCCCGCCACCTAGCTGCCAAGCTCTCTCTGGAGAGAGAAAGAGAGAGAGAGAGAGAGAGAGAGAGAGACAGAGACAGAGACAGAGACACAGAGACAGAGATAGTGAGAGACAGAGACAAAGAGAGAGACAGAGAGTGAGAGAGTGAACGAGGGAGAGTGAGACAAAGAGAGAGAGAGAGAGAGAGAGAGAGAGAGAGAGATCCTATCCACAAAACTCACAATACATTGTTACCAGTTCCTATTTGGTGATTAGAGATTGTTCAGCTCCCATGGAACATAGCTTGTAGCCATATTTTATCAGACATATGTCTGTACAAAAAAAACCCCCAGTAATTCAGGCTTCAGTGCGTGTCATGGTTTCCGGCTCTGGGGGTCACGGAGCCACGATGATGGGGACAGGTGATGACTGCACACAGGGATGCAGGGTGACCAGCGGGACCCCTAAATGTCACCACGGAGCCACTCAGGATGCCAAGACTCCTGGGGAACAGGCCCCCCCCCACTTACTTCTCCTGGGGTGGCCCTGCCCCCTACCTACAGGGCCTTCTGCCTCCAGCGGTCCTGTTCCCCACCCTACTCTGCAGCTCTGCAAAGGCTAAACTGAGGGTGGCCTCTGTGGCTTCAAGATATTCCAGTCCTGTGACTTTAGGATCAAATCCATCACCTGGTATCTCTCTGATCCGGCCATCAGCGGCTTCCGTCCTCTTCATTGGATCCTCTCCAGAATGAGGGCACCTGCATTTCCAGGTACCAGGTTCCCCTACAAGCCTTCTATCTGAGGGCACGCGCTCCTCTTCCTGTCTGACACCCGCTCCCTGCGACCACCTGTCTCCCCCCAAATGCACACCCGCTGCAGGGCAGGGCTGAGCCAGGTATGGTATGGACTCTAGAGGGTGGGGGAGGGCCTCCCATCTGCTCATATCCTCCCTGACTCAGCTGGAAGAGAGTCAGCCCTCGATCCACAGAGCTCTCTCTGGTTCCAATGCAAAGGCCCTCTGGGCCTCCCTATTCTTAGCTCTGAAATGGAGACAGAGGAGCAGCCCTTGAGGAACTGATGGCTTTTACATAAAACTAGGTATAGAAGCACGGAGACTGGTACCCGCAAGTCCCCATAGCAGTCAGCTACTCTGACCCCCTTAGGCCCCAACTACTCAGGTGCTCGCCAGCATCCAGGGGTGCCCCCAGACAGCCCCCAGCCTCCCAGGGTCCTAATTATCTGGGTTTTCCCCCCTTTTTTTAAAATAATTTTATTTATTGAATCACCATGAGGGCAGTTACAAAGCTTTCGGGTTTAAGTCTCAGTCTTACAATAAAACACCCATACCTTGACCAGTGCTCATTTTCCACCACCAAACCCCCCAGTATACCTCCATCCCACACCCTCCTTCTACCTGTGGGACAGATAATTTCCACATTACTCTCTCTTTACTTTGATTACATTCAATATTTTGACACCAGACCCGCCATTATTTTTGGGATTTTACTCCAATACTCAGGTCTGCCGAAAAGGCAACAGTAGACAATTTGTTTTCTATTACTGGTTATGAATAACATACAATGTCGTGTGGCCACAGTAGTGGCCGTGCGGTTTTGGAATTCCAAAAATTTAAAATTAAATCTGGAGGGATTTCTGCCAAAACCTGCTGGGTTCCGAGATTTGTTCCTGAGTCTCTGGGATCATGGCTGTTGAGCAGCTTGATCAGGAGCCAGAGAGGCCGTTTGTGGGCAGCAACTCGGGTTCTCGTTGGGGCGGGGAGGAAAGGGCCAGCTCCGCTCCAATTCTGTGAGGCCCCGCATGTCTTGTCACTGCAGGCCCAAACCTGACCGTACAGTGGCCTCTGGAGGATGGCAGCCACTGAGCCGCCAGGGGGAACAGGTCAAGGCATGAAACCTATTCCCACCTGGGGTAGCCTGGTGCCTGTAACCTACTGCAGGGACCAGATGCATTTCTGCCGAAAGCCACTGGATTCCAAGATTTGTTTCTGAGTCTCTGGGATCATGGCCATTAAACAGCTTGATCAGGAGCCAGAGAGGCCATTTGTGGGCGGTGGCTCAGGGACTTGTTGGGGCGGGGAGGAAATGGCCAGCTCCACCACCATCCCGTGAAGCCCCATGTGTCTCATCACTGTGGGCCCAAATCTGACTGTCCAATGGCCTCTGGAAGATAGTGGTCACCGAGCCAAGGGGGAGCAGGCAGAGGGACAATACCCTTTCACCCTGGGGTGGTCCAGCGCCAGTAACCCATTGCGAGGACCAGATGCCTCTCTGCCAAAAGCCGCTGGGTTCTGAGATTTGTTTCTGAGTCTCTGGGATCATGGCTGTTAAGCAGTTCGATCAGGAACCAGAGAGGACTTACCTCCAATTATATAGCTGAGCCGGAGGTGGTTTGTGGGTGTATCACCCACATACCTAACTTTTAGCCATTTACTTTCTTGGTAAACTTTGCCCCAAGTTTTTGGGTCTGGCCAAAGGCACAGCAGCAATTTGGGGGTATCTGGAAGTCTGAAGGTGCCATTGGCTGCTGAAGCATTCGCCTCACAGGTACAGATTGACCTGCTGGCGGCACCATATCCCCTTCTAATTATCTGTTCAATGTCTATTCTCCCTCTGGCTCTGATTAGCTGCTGGCCTCAGGCCTGACCAGGACAATTCTTTGTGTCCCCTGAGCCTGGCCTGATTCTTGATGGGGAATTAATAAAACACTGGAGGAGAAAAGGCAAAAAGACCAGGAGCAGATGGCTACAAAGGGCCTCCGTGCCTAATAAAGAAAAACTTGGGGTGACAAAGTGAAAGTCCCTGCAGATAAGATGGCCGAGAATGGGAATGGGAATGAGGCAGGTGGGTTCAAGGGTTGCATTCACAGAGTCTAGCACCCCGAGGCCTGAGAAGCAGAGGCTGGAAAGCTATCTGCCTGGCAGGAAGACGCTCTGCTTGCGAACTTCCAAACACCTCTGCAGAGCCCCAAGGTAGCGAGAGGGGTTCTAAAAGGAAGGGCCAGGACATTCTGCTTGGATATCTGTGCTTCAGAGAGGAAAAGATACCAGAAGATGAGTTTATCTCCACTTACCTGTGGGTCGTTGAAGGAAAGGAATCCGGCAGCGGTCACGAGGAAGAGGGCACTGTAGAGAGGGAGAACACACAGGCAGCTTGAGGGGTCAGCAGGGACAGGAAAGCTGAAATGTGCTATTTGGGGGGAGGGGGCAGAGAGTCTATTGGGTATCAAACCCGGGACTCACACTTTAAGGCAAGAAAGTGCTCTATCTCAGCTGTACACCTAACCAGGCTATAGCACATTGATGAGGGCTTGGAAGAAGCAAGGATCCAGTGTGAGAAAGCCCAGTTCCCCTGTTCACTATCTGAGAACCCCACTACTTAGAGAGTTTTTTTTGGCTCGGAAACCAACAAACCCTTCCCTGGTGCTCTGTGAGTCATTTTCTCAGAACCAGGTAAAACCAGTAGTGGCTGACTTGCGTGAGAAAGACAGTGTGCCTGTGAAATTCTAATTAGATGGAGATGATTTTTAAAGCTATCCATCTCTCCAAAATACATTAGTGGAAAACTGGGTCATCAGACTACTATTATGTCATTTACAAAACATAAAATACCATAACAAAGCAAAAGAAAAAACAGACAGAAAACATTGATGGTTATCAGAGGGGTGGAGGGTTAGGGTAGGTAAAACTCGTGAAGGGGACCAAGAGGTAAAAACTCCCAGTTACCCTTCTTCCTTTGTTTTACTGTTTAGAGACCCAGCAGTGCTCAGAGCTTACTCCTGGTTCTGTATTTAGGTATCACTCCTGCCAGTGCTCAGGGTTCTGGTGACTGAACCCAGGTCAGCCACATGCAAGGCAAGCAACCTACCTAGCTGCTATATTATCTCTCTGGCCTCTCCAGTTACCTTTTGCAATAAATAAAAAAGAAGTAATGTATAGTCTGTACTATCCATAAAATTATTATTGCATAATAATTAGGATGATATGTTGCCATTTAAATCATCAGTTTGAAAGTTGCTAAGATGGTAAATAAGCTTATGATGCTGATCATTGAATGGGTGTGTTTTACAACTGAAACTATAACAATGTTGTCAATCAAACATTAATGTTATTTCTAAAAACTTTTGGGCTGGAGCGATAGCACAGTGGGTAGGGCGTTTGCCTTGCACGCAGCCAACATGGCTGACCCGAGTTGGATTCCTCCGCCCCTCTTGGAGAGCCCGGCAAGCTACCAAGAGTATCTCACCCGCATGGCAGAGCCTGGCAAGTGATGTACTCGATATGCCAAACACAGTAACAACAAGTCTCACGAAGGAGACGTTACTGGGCCCGCTCGAGCAAATCGATGAACAACTGGAGGACCATGACCGTGACTAAAAACTTTTATTTGGGGGCCACACCAGGCACACCTGACTCTCAGGGATCATTTCTGGTGGGCTTAGGGGACCACATGTGGTGCTGAGGACTGAATCCTGTCAACTGCATCCAAGGCAAGCACTCTACTGCTAGGTTATCGTCCTAGCCCCTTAATTTAAAAAATTAAGTTCTAGTTCACCAATAGAAATAGACACTTGAGTTATGGTACAGTGGGTAGTGTGCTTGTCTTCCATGTGGCGACCCGGGTTCAATCCCGGGTATCACATATGGTCCCAGAGCACCATGAAGAGTATTACTGACTATGCAGCAGTTAGAAAAGATGAAATCATGAAATTTTCATATAGGTGGATAGACATGGAGAGTATCATGCTGAGTGAAATGAGTCAAAAAGAGAGGGATAGATAGGATGACTGCACTCATCTGTGGAATATAAAGTAACATAATAGGAGACTAACACCTAAGGTCAGTAGAGACAAGGACTAGGAGGATTGCTCCACAGCTTGGAAGTCGGCCTCACATGCTGGGAGAAGGCAGCTGGAATAGAGAAGAGACTGCTAACCAAATGATGCTTGGAGGGATCGCTTGGGTTGGGAGACATGTGCTGAAAGTAGACTATGGACTAAACATGAGGGCCTCTTAGTACCTGTATTGCAAACCATAAACATCCAAAAGGAGAGAGATTAAGAGGAAATGTGCCTGCCACAGAGGTGTGAAGTGGGGGTGGTGGAGGGGGGATGGGGTTGTGGATACTGGGAATATTGTTGGTGGAGAATGGGCACTGGTGGAGGGATGGGTGCTCGATCATTGTATGACTGAAACGTAATCATGAAAATTTGTAAGTCTGGAACTATATCTTATGGTGATTCAATAAATAAAAAAATATTAAAAAAAGAGTAATTCCTGAGTGCAGAGCCAGGAGTAAGCCCTGAGCATTGTCAATATGGCCTAGAAATGTAAAAGGAAGGAAAAAAAAAAGAAAGAAAACATCACAAAAGCACACTAAAATCTCTTGTGCTTTATCTTAACTAAATGACAAACTTAGTCATCTCCAGTAATGGGGTAGATCTGTGTCTGAGCCTCCTGAGAGGGCATAGTGAGAAAGCGCCATTCCTGGAAGATGCACAATCCAGACGGAATCCCAAGGAGAGACCAAGACAAAACCAAAAATGGGCAGGTCACAAAACAACAGGCTGATACTCTTCAAAAGTCAGTGACACACTATTCTGTATCCCAAATGAAAGCATAACAGAGACACGGCGTCTTAAGGGGAAGAGGGTGTGAGCGGTAGTACTCAGAGGCTACTCCTGGCTCTGTGCTCAGGGTCACTTGGGGCAGTGCTTCGGGGATCATACATGTTGGTGTGGACCAGATTTGGGTTGGCTGCTTGGAAGGCAAGCACTTTAACCCATGGACTTTCTCTCTAATCCCTGAGTGCAGCAGTTTTAGGAGATATGCTTTTAAGCGTTAGGGGTAAGACCCTTGTCTTGGTTCAGGAAAACGTAAGTTAGAATCACAAGTTCAGTCCCAGAGACCATATGGCCCCCTGATCACCACTCACAACAACCCAAGCACAGAGAATATCCTCAAGTATCATCAGGTGTAGCCCTGAAGAAAATGAAGAAAACCAAAAAAAAAAAAAAAAAAGACAGTTTAAGGTGCTGCTTTGCATGTGGCTGACTTTGCTCTGATTCCTGCACCCACCCTCATGCCCCCGACCACGAATACTCTAAATTGCAAACAACATCTTGGAAATTTGATGTCAAGCCCATGTTTACCACTTTCCCTCGCCATCAATATTGCACAATTCTTAGTGAAGTTTTCAGCATCAATGTCTGAAATCCAGAAGGAATGAAAATTTCAGAAAAGCTGTGAGAAAGAGAGAGAGAGAGAGAGAGAGAGAGAGAGAGAGAGAGAGAGAGAGAGAGAGAGAGAAAGAAAGAGAAAGAGAGAGAGAGAGGAGGAAAGTGCCTGCCATAGAGGCAGGCAGGGTGGGTGGGGGACGGAAACTGGGAAACTGGGGACATTGGTGGTGGGAAATGTACACTGGTGAAGGAATGGGTGTCGGAACATCACGGGAGTGAAACCCAATTCTTTGTAACTGTGCATCTCACTGTGATCCAAAAAGAAAAAAAATTTTTAAAACAAAAACAACAACAACAACAACAACAACAACAAAAATCCCATAAATATCATTTCACTATCAAAGTTAAAAATACTGGGCTAGGAGTGGGGAGACGAACAGGGGTTAGCGCACTCGCCCTGCTGTGCCTGGCCTGTGTTTGCTCTCACGCACCCAGTGGCCTCCCTAGACGGGCCCCAGAAACATGGAGCTTAAATCTCTGCTTTAAAAACTTACCTACAGATCTTTACAGGAGAAGTTTTCTGTAAGAAAGAAAAGAGAAGTGATTAATCTTTTGAAACTTTTGCTTCCCCCTGTTAAAAAAAATCATTAGATTGAGGAACAAATATATTACAAAGACATTTACTGAGGGGTTGCTAGTTTGCTGCACCTTAGTGTTTATTCGTTGGGGATGTTTCTTCTTGGGTGGGATGAAGGATGACTCAGCGGTCCAGAGCTGAGTCACTTGGCCAAAACATCTGGCTGTGCTCTGGCCACTCACCATCAGAACTATGTTTACTCATGAAAAACCAAGTGACGCCAGGGTGAAGCTTTCAGAATCACAGCCACCAAGGAGAGGAGAGAGAAACCATGTAATATGTACAAGGAAAGAAATTTGGTTTGGTTTTCTCTTGTTTTAATTTTTGCACCTTACCCAGAAGAGTCGATTCTACTTCACAGAGCGGGGAGAAAGGGCTGCAAAGTTCAAAAAGAGAACTCCCAGAATAACCACCAACTGGGAACTCTTTGGTACTATTGCGGCAACATGGGAAGATGCCATTGTTGACAACATTGACGAGGAATACGATCGACTGGTTCAGCACCTCCATGAATGTGCGAGGAACGCCAAGAGAGAGATAGCCACAAAAAATCGCCTATCTTCGAAAACTCTTGAGCTAATTAGCCAGCGTGGTTTGGCGCATGCCTCAGGCAACCACAAGCTAACGTCTGAGCTCACAAAGCAGTGCAGAGATGCGATCAAGGAAGACCTCAAAGAGAGAAGAGCAGAAGTGCTGGTAGATGCGGCAGAAGCCGGGAAAAGTATTCGTAATGCCCGCCTGTCCTTCGCCAACTACAAGACCAAGATGACTGCCCTCCGACGTCCTGATGGATCCATCACATCCTCCAGAATGGCAATGGAGAAGATTATCCATGACTTCTACTCAAATCTCTTCGATAGCCATGTCCACTTGCCGACATACCAAATTCCACAGGATGGATATGTCGTTCCCAACATTCTCCCTTCTGAAATCCGACACGCCATTTTGTCGGTAAAGAAACAAACAGCACCCGGCCCAGACAAGGTCAGACCTGAACACCTGAAGAACCTGCCGTCAGTACTCATCAATACACTGGCTCGGCTCTTCACTCGCTACCTGTCTGAATGCAAGGTTCCATCCCAATGGAAAACCAGCAGGACCGTACTACTGTTCAAGAAGGGAGACATCCATGACATTGGCAACTATCGCCTGATCTGCCTATTGTCTGTCATCTACAAGTTGTTCACTCGAGTCATCCTAAATAGGATTGGCAGAACGCTAGATGAAGGACAACCATGCGAGCAAGCCGGGTTCCGCAAAGGATTCAGCACCATCGACCATATCCACACGATAACCAAGCTCATTGAGGTTTCTCGGGAGTTCAAGATGCCGCTCTGTTTAACGTTCATTGATTTAAAGAAGGCCTTTGATTCTGTTGAGACGGAAGCGGTCACTGAAGCCCTAGCCAATCAGGGCATTCAAGCCCAATACATCAGGATCTTCCGTGAGCTGTATTGCGGATTCACTACCAGGATCTCACCATTCTACAAAGAAGTGATCGTTGATGTCAAGAGAGGGGTGCGGCAGGGTGATACCATTTCACCGAAACTCTTCAGTGCCACCCTCGAGAACATCATGTGATGACTGGAATGGGAAGGAATGGGAGTGAAGATAGATGGTCGGCAACTACACCACCTCCGCTTTGCTGATGACATTGTTTTAATAACACCAAACATCAGCCAAGTGGCACAAATGCTGGCCGACTTTGACCGTGAGTGTGGAAAGGTAGGACTACAGCTGAATCTTACGAAGACAATGTTTATGAGAAACAGCCTCATTCCTGACGCCCCATTCGCTCTCAACGGAACGACCATCTCCGAATGCAACAGCTATGTGTACCTAGGTCGAGAGGTCAACATGACAAATGACCTGGCACCCAAGCTGTGCAGGAGGAAGAGAGCGGCTTGGAACGCCTTCAAGAACGTCGAAGAAATAGCTAAGAGGACGAAGAACCTCCGGCTCCGGGCACATCTCTTTGATTCCACTGTTCTTCCTGCATTAACTTATGCCTCAGAGACCTGGGCCCTACACAAACAAAATGAGAATGCTATTCAGGTCTCCCAAAGAAGAATAGAAAGAGCTATGCTTGGAATATCACGTTTCACTCAACTGAGAGAAAGAGTCCGGAGTTCTGACATCCGTCGACAATCAAGAATCAGGGACGCTGTCTCATTTGCCAAGGTGTCGAAAATCAGATGGGCTGGTCACGTAATGAGATTCAAAGACGACCACTGGACTAGAGCTGTTACCGACTGGATTCCACGGGATGTCAAAAGACCGCGTGGCCGCCCACCTACCAGATGGTCAGACTTCTTCATCAAGATCATGAATGATCGATTTGAGGCCCTTCATGTTCCCGGAACGAAGGGATGCCATTGGGCTACACTAGCACGCGACAGGGACAAATGGAGACGTTACTGGTGCCCGCTCGAGCAAATTGACGACTAACGGGAAGTTAAGTGATTAAGTGATTACCCAGAAGAGCTTGGGGGTCATTCTAGACAGTGCCAGGTATCAAAACCCAAGGTCCAGCATGAAAGGGAAGTGTTCTACCCATCTGAGCAAGAAATAAAGCTCTTTCTTTAAAAAAAAAATTATTGAATCACTGTGAGCTACAATTACAAAACTTTCATGTTTCAAAACTTTCATGTTTGAGTTTCAGTCATACAAGATCAAATAACCATCCCTCCACCAGCATACACTTTTCACCACCAATATCCCCAGTATCCCTCCCCCTACCCTGTCCCACCCTTCCCCCTACCTCTATGGTAGACAATTTCCTTCTTACTCTCTCTCTACTTTTGGGTAATATGGTTTGCAATACAGACACTGAGAGGCCATCATGGTTGGTCCTTGATCTACTTTCAGCCCACATCTCCCATCCCGAGTGAACCCTCCAACCATCATTGACTTAGTGATTCCTTCTCTATCCCAGCTGCCTTCTCCCCCAGCTCTTGAGGCAGGCTTCCAACCATGGAGCAATCTTTCTGACCCTTGTCTCTACTGTCCTTGGGTGTTAGTCTAATATTATGATATTTTATACTCCACAAATGAGTGCAGTCATTTATCTTTCCCTCTCTTTCGGACTCATTTCATTTAGCATGATACTCTCCATGACCATCCACTTACAAGCAAATTTCATGTCTTCAACTTTCCTAACAGCTGCATAGTATTCCATTGTGCAGATGCACCAAAGTTTTTTTAACCAGTCGTCTGTTCTCGGGCACTTGGGTTGTTTCCAGATTTTGGCTATTGTGAACAGTGCTGCAATGAACATACAGGTGCATACAGGTGTCATTTCTACTTCGCTTTTTTGCATCCTCAGTAGATATTCCCAGAAGTGATATTGCTGGGTCATATGGAAGCTCAATTTCTAGTTTTTTGAGGAGTGTCCATATTGTTTTCCCAAAAAGCTGGGCCACTTGGCTTTGCCACCAACAATGAAAGAGCGTCCCTTTCCTCCCACATCTGTGCCAGCACTAGTTACTCTTGTTCTTTTTGATGTTTACCAGTCTCTGTGGTATGAGATGATATCTCATTGTTGTTTTGATTTGCATCTCCCTGGTGATTAGTGATGAAGAGCATTTTTTCATGTGCCTTTTGGTCATTTGTAAGGAAATTTGCAAACTGCATCCCTGGCCTCTTGAGGCCTCAAGAGATCAAGGGATGTAGCTCGGTGGTCGAGCATTTACCTCCGTGTTAAGCCCTGGGTTTAATCCCTGGTAAGGGAGGCGCAGAGAGGAGAATGAAGATCTCATGCTTGATTTTGGAGAGCGGTTTGCAATACAGATATAGAGATGACATCCTGGGCTCAATGGAAAAAACCTGCCCGCTAGGCCTTTGACTTAACTACACCTGGGGCCCGAGATTCAGCTGGTGAATAACTCCCATTTCAATCTGTCTCTTTAAATCTTCTGTTCATTAATCCTGCTGCAACTCTGAGCAGTGCTATAAATTTCTCCAGCATGCTGTGTAAATTAAGAAACACTAAAAAGGAAAAGAGACATTTTCCTCCACCCCGAGAAAGAATATAAAAAGAGCAAATTGGGGAAATCTAAACTCGGCGCTTACAGCTCCCTGACATAAGAAATGAAATTCCAAGCTGGATGTTAGGTTTTCTGCCTCCCGATTAGTCCTTTGCAGGAATCATTTGCCCAAAGAAGAAACTCACAGCTAGAAGCATGTTCCCCCACCTCCCCATTACTTCCCCCCTCCATTTATCTAGAGTTGAGAGGGGGGCCTCCTGCACGGTGCTCAGGCTCCCACTGGGTTACTGAGCCAATGCAAGGGCCGGAGTATGTTGTACTGTGGTGCTGGGTGGTGCTGGGTATTACCTGGGCCAAACCAGGGGGTGCTGAGTGGTCATTCTGTGGGAGGAATCTTCAGGGCAAGTGCTTTCATCTCTCTACTATGTCCCAAGCACCTCCACTCCTTTGTTTGAAACTTTATTTAAACACCTTGGTTACAAAGTAGTTTATAATAGTTGTTGCATTCAGTATTTCAATGCCCATTTCCAGGTCACATTTCCAGTGTGACCTCCTCTCCAACACAGTTCCGGGTTTCCCAACCAGCCCGCAAGCTTGCACCCCTCAGTGGGCACAAAATGTCTACATTATATTGTTTGTTACAACACACACACACACACACACACACACACAAAAGCATAAAATTGTTCTTTCGTTAATAATTCTCTTTGTAGTGAGGTTGTTGATGCGACAGACATGGTGGCATGGGCACTAGCTCTCTGAGGTTGCATAGATGCTGGATCCCTGAGGTTGCACAGGTGCTGGCTCTCTGAGGCTGCACAGACGTTCTTGCTCTCTGAGGTTGCACAAATGTTCTTGCTCTCTGAGTTGCACAGATGCTGGCTCAGTGAGATCATAGAGGCGCTGGCTCTCTGAGGTTGTACATGCATTCTGTCTCTCTGAGATTGCACAGGCACTGGCTCTCTGAGGTTGCACAGACATGTTTGCTCTCTGAGGCTGCACAGATGTGCTGGCCCTCTGAGGTGACACACACATGAGCTCTGGTGCCAGCACATGGGGCTGCACTGCTCATTATTTTGGTTGCATGTATTTCCAGCCCCTTTGCCACTACGGACAGAACTTGGCCTGCATGACTGGCAGCACCGGGCCAGTTATGCTCTCTGGCACTGGCTCCCATGCTCCCAGGAGGAAGCAACACGGTGTCAGGGATAAATCCAGGGCATTTGTTCTAGCCCTGGGGCCACCTCCTGGGTCCTTCTCTATGTTTGACAGGGAGAACAGTCAGCAAGGCCTGCAGGTTTATTCTGAAGATTTCAGAAGGATTATTTTGCAAGATGAGGAAAAATGGAAAACGTTTCACTCTCAAAACAGGGAGAGGGCTCAGCAGGCTGGAGTGTGGGCTGTGCATGCAGGATGACCACATATGATCCCTGTACTGCTGTCTCTGTACCGCTGTCCCTGAGCACCATTCCAGGAGTAACCCCAATCACCACTGAATGTGGCCCAGGTGATGGCTCAAAGCACTGGAGCTTTTCCTGCATGTGGTCAAGCCCAATTTATTCCCTGGCATCATATATAGTCCCCTGAGTACAGAGCCAGGAGGAAGCCAAGAGCACCACAGGGTGTGGCACATCCTACACACAAAATAGTTTTCCTCAGAGAGAATTTCTCAATACTTTGAAAAAACAGAGGACTGTCAACTTTATTATTTATTTTTATTGAATCATCGTGAGACACACAGTTTAAAAGTTATTCACAATTAGGTTTCAGTCATACAATGTTCCAATGCTCGTCCCTTTACCAGTGTACATTTCCCACCACTAATGTCCCCCGCCTCTGTCCCGCCAACACCCCCTGCCCCAGCCTGCCTCTGTGGCAGGCATTTTTCTTCTTTCTTCCCTACCTCCTTTCTCTTTCCTTCTGGGCGTTATGATTTGCAATACAGGTACCGACAGGTTATTAGGTATATCCCTTTACTTACTTTCAGCACTCAGTTCTTGTCCAGAGTGATCATTTCCAACAATCATTGTCATAGTGGACCCTCCTCTATCCTAACTGCACTCCCCCATCCACCCCCTGAGAACGGTCAACTTTAAATTAAACCCTGTCTAACTAGAAATTAAAAAATGAAAGTAATACTTTTTAAAAAGCACCAGAACACGTGCTTTCCATGTGGATGGCCTGTGCAATCCCAGGCACTGCCAGGCCACTGAGCATCGCCATAGTGACTCCTGAGCACAAAATCAGGAGTAGCCCCTGAGCACTGCCAGCCATGGCCCAAAAGCACCTCTTAAAAAAATACATATATATTATTCTAGTGTAGATAAAGTATGAAGTATGAACACAGTGCCACGGCTGGAGAGACAGGACAGAGGACAAAGGCCCCTTAAGAGACCCCCAAAGTGAGTGGGGTGATGAATAGTGGACAGGGCCAATAAAGAGCTGAGGAAATGGGGGCCAGAAATGTAGCTCAATGGGCTGAACACACACGTTGCATGTGGGAGGCATGGAATCAGTTCCCGCACCACATGGTTCCGAAGTCTTGCGCCAGGAGGCATCCTGCAAGCACAGGGCCAGGAGTGGCCCTTGAGGCACACCCACTGGCCAGAGTTAATAAATGAGCTTTGGGTAATTTTGGCCAGCGTCCCCATTGGGTTCAAGTGGGGAGGAGGAGGAACGGCTGATAGGGAGAGGAAGACAACAGTATGAAAAGTCTGACTCTCAGGCGCAGTGCATGGCAGGGCCAGGGTTCCATCTCCACAATGCCCTCAATCAAAGTTCCAAAAATTGATTTTTAAAAATATTTGAACAGTCCCATGTTAGAAAAGAGCAACTGCTGAGTGGGCACGACAGTACAAGGGTGAAGGCCTGGCATGCAGCTGACCCCAGCTCGAATCGGAGTAAGCCCTGCATGGCCAGGAGTGAGCCCTGAGCCCTGTCGGGTGTGGCCCTGAAGTAAAAACAAAGAAGAAAGAAGGAGAAGAAAAGAAAGGGGGAAAAGGAACTCCCCAAAGAGGGGTCACTTTAAAAATCTGGTGGTAGGCTGGAGCGATAGCAGAGCAGGTGGGGTGTTTGCCTTGTACACAGCTGACCCGGGTTCGATTCCTAGCATCCCATATGGTCCCCCAAGCCCCGCCAGGAGTGCATGAGCCAGGAGTAACCCTGCTCACAAGTCCAGATACCTAAGCTGTGCCCAAACGGTGCCAACCTCTCAGAAGGCTAGCGGGAAGCAGAACTGGGGTTGGAGGAGTTTCCTGGTGGGGGGGCGGGCACACTCCTGGCACCTCCTGGGGCCACTGCAGTGGGTTTCCACGTGGCTCTGGCATGGGCACTGGGGAACTGAAGGATGTCCAAACCTGACCCCTGACACTGAACTGAAGACGGTTCTCAGGCCATCCTCACTGCAGACAGCAAGGAACAGGAATGAATGCGACAGATTCTAATTTGGGCCATTGAAAAGAAAAGAAGTGAGGCTTTGAGACGTAAAGGCAGGGAAGAGAGGAGCACTGGCATTACTGTTTACCTCTTTCCACAGACACTGCTGGTACCCCAAGATGATCACCTCCGCCACATTGTGCCAAGTGAGAAACACAGGAATGGCCTGAAAGAAAACAAAACAACGAGCATGAAAACGTCTCCTTTGGTCTCCTGATGACATAACCCCCTATTTCTGCTAAAAAAGGGCAGGATCCGTGGGAATTCCTGGCATGTGCAGAGATGGGTCTTGCCAGCCAGAGCTCCCCGGCGGTTGGCAGCTCCCCGTGGGCGGCAGCAGTGGCACCCCCTCTCTTGGATCTTCTCAGCAAACCTTTGTCTCTTCCACTCACTGACTTTCCCCCTCCCTCCGGTTGCCAGGTGATGGCCAGGGTCCCAGGCCACCCGGCTGTGACACTCACAGGGGCACTACCCGGGGGCTGCACATCCTGGCCATGGGGCTGGCTATCTTTTCAGTGCAGCTCAATGAGCACACGCCCTCTTGGGTAGGGGGTCCCTCACACTGGACTAGGGTGTGGCCAGAAACCATCTGTGGGTTCACTCAGAGCAGTGCTGCAGACACTACGCTCGGTGCATGTGGCAGGTTTGGTGTGTGGATTCTCTCCCTTACTAGGCAGGGCAGGTGCTCTCAGGCACCCCGGGAGCCGCGGCCCCACCAAACGTGGCCCCACCAAACACGGACTGCATTCCTGCCGAGTGTCAGGTGGCACACCAGGGTCAGGGGACCACTGCCCCGAGCAGGAGGGCACGCGATAGGGAGAATGTGAAAGCTCTGGAGGGAATAAAGCCTGAAGCCTGAACAAGAACCAAATGAAGAACTACAGGGAACCACACAAGAACATCTGGGAGAGTGTTGAGAAAAGATGAGTTTGCAGAGGCCCAGGGGAGAGGGCAAGGTTGTTTGCTCCTCTGGGAAGGGGGGGGGGGGGGGAGAGGCAGGGAGGGGTCATGGTAACATGAGGAATCAGGACCTCCAGGGTAGAGAAGCTGCTAACGGATTTTATTGCACTTTATTAATTTCTTTTGGGTTTTGGGGGTTATATGTGGTGGTTCTCAGGGGTTAAGCCTGGCTCTGCGCTCAGGAATCACTCCTGGTTAGTGCTCATGGGATGACAGAGTCTGCTAGGGATCAAACTGGGGTCTACTACATGCAGGACAAGAACCTTGGCCCCTGGATTATCTCTCTGGTCCTGCTGACAATTTTTAAAATGGGGTCATTCCTAGAGTTGCATGTTTCAAGGAACTCTGGCAAAAGTCTGCAAAAGAGTGGTGAAATTAAAAAAACCCTCAAAGACAGCTACAATCTAGCACTTGAAACCAGTGAATACAACATTTCTTTCAAGGGTCTTTACCTCCCACCCAAAGGAAAAAGTTCAAAGCTATCCACAATCTCATCTCTGAAACCAGTGAATATTCCTTTCATGAGCCCTTACCTCCACCAAAACAAAAAAATATTTTAAAGGTTTTTTAAAAAAGTTTTAAAGGATTTAAAGGGTTTTACAAAAGTGACTGGGACTGAGAATCTTGCAGTGCCGAGTTTCTCCCCTCTATGAAAGATTTTCTGGAGGAAACAAAAGGCAAAAATGTGCCCCTTAAGGAGAGACAAATACTCAGATTTGGTGAGTAATTTGGAGGCGGATTGGGCGCGTACAGCCGCATGCTCAATCAGGGTCCCTAGCATCAGGGACTCAAGGAGCCCTGACTCTTATCACCTACAGCCACCCGAGGGTGGGGTCAAGTGGTACAGCAGCCCCAGGAAAGTGACACACGGAGCTACGAGGGGGGACGTGGGCCGGGAAGAGACATGTGGTCTGCTAGGAAAATATTTAGGAAACCAAACGGAGACAAATATTTGAATTGCCAGGATGCACTATGCACCCCAAAACTGTGTGTGCGGGGCCAGGGGGTAGATACAAGAAATGTAACATTCTAGCGGGTCACTGAGCTTCCTAGGGAACCTGCACTGGGAAGGCTGCCGGCAGGCTGTAAGGAGGTGGTGCCCGCCCCTGTCAGGGGAGAGAGGATGAGGCCCAGGATCTGGTTATTCCTCGCGATGTGACTCATGATGGTGAGGTTTCCTGGAAGGTGGAAGAAGGTAAAGCACAGGTTCAGGCTTGGGCTTGGGCATGCGACTGGGCTGGGCCCAGGCTGCACATCTGCCCTCGAGCAGGGCTCACTCTCCTCCCAGACACAGTCACTCCTCTGTGGGGCAAAGAGGAGGAGACGGACAACCGACCAGGAGCTGCCGGGAGGAGGGGACAGAAGGGAAGTGGATGCAGGGCCAGGAGAGACACGGCCAGAAGGTCACTGCTGCAAACTGGGCCCAGTGCTTGGCACTAGATTCAGTTCCCCAGCCACCGCCAGGGGTCACTCCTGAGCACTCTCCAGGTGTGGTCCCAGCCAATTAAAAAAATAAACAAAAATAATAAACAAAAAGAAAGCAACGTGGGGCTGGAGAGATAGTATGGCCAGGAGGGCTACGGACCTGGGTTCAATCCCCAGCATCCCATAGGGTCCCCCAAGCACAACCAAGAATTACACTAAGAGTAATTCCTGAGTGAAGAGCCAAGAATAACCCAGAGCATTACAGGGAGTGGCCCCAAACCAAAACCAAACCGACCATACAAAAAGGATTCAACTTTGTGAATTTTTTTCCTTCTGCCTTGGTTTTGGGTATAGTTGACACTGTGGGGGCAAATGTGGTCAGGGTGCTGAGGATGGGCAATGCTGAGGATTCCACACTCACCGACTCCCTCTGGGGACCATGCAGTGTTAGGGATTGAACCCAGGTCCTGCTGGCAAAGCAAGTGCTCCAGCCCTGTGTGCCATCTCCCTGGCCCCTGGTTACCTCCCCCCCCCTTTTTTTTTTTTTAAAAAATAAGACTAAGAAGTTTAAGATTTTATTTAGCAAATAAAGAAATTCATGGGGGTATGGTGCTGCCAACAGGTCAACCTGTACCTGCGAGTGGGGCGAGTGCATCAGCAGCCTGATGGCGCCTTCAGATTTCCAGATACCCCAAAATTGCTGCTGTGCCTTTGGCCAGACCCCCAAAATTTGGGGTAAAGTTTACCAAGAAAGTAAATGGCCAAAAGTTAGGTATGTGGGAGACACACCCACAAACCACCTCCGGCTCAATCATATAAGCTCACTTACTTATTGGCCTTATTTCAGAGATCCATAAATCTCAAAAGAGATCAAAAGACACAGTTAGGGACTGTAGCATGGAGGTAGATGGGAACCCATGACAGATCTCCAGGCCCACTCAGATCGGGGCTGGGCCTCCTCCCCTCAGGTCCCCAGTTTTCCAGTAGCTTGGCAGTTACACCCACAAACTACCATGTAATCTCATCAACAGCCAAGACCCAGGCACTATAAACTAAAACTCCCGAAAGAGAGCACTGCAGAATGTCCTGACTTCGCGCCAGGCTGTATTCTCTGGGGAGCCCTAGAAGGGGTCAGGGGAGAGCCCTCCCTGCCCCATGGGATCCAGCTCCAGAAGCCAAAAAACCTCTACAACCCAATCGCTGTCACGTTTAGGGCCGCCCCCACATGCTCGGGCCGAGCCTCATGCATGAGTGAAGTACCACGGAACCCAGGTAATGCTTAACTTTGTGACCTTGGATTTTGGGCTCAATAGGACCAGGAGCAGAGATCCTCTGCTTGCTTTCCCCAGTCTCCAGTGACCCAGGGATCATACCCATAAGCCACCTCCTGCCGGCGCCAGATAATCTTGTCATTGGCCACCGCCCAGATCACATGGCTGCTTCTCCCGAAAGGGAGCATAACATGAGGCTCCCATAACCATGCCAAGCTGTTTTACACGGGGTGCCCCACGGGGGGGCGGGGGGGGCGGATGAGAGCCCTCCCTGCCCCAAGGGACCCCGCTCTGGCAGCCAAAAACCTTCACAACCCAACCGCTACCACACTCAAGGCTGCTCCCCAACGCGCTCGGGCCTAGCTTCACATATGAGTAAACATATTCCTGGACACATCATAAAACACTCCCTACCCATTCCCCATAATTACCACATCACATTTGATGGGGTTCAGATAGTAGGCAACAAATCGTAGAGGGAAATATATATATATATATATGCATATATACATATTTTCAGATACATATACAAAAGCTCACATCACCCAAACTTTAACAACATGTTATTGATATCCTATAGAATGCCTTAATGGCTCCTGCCAAAATAGAACAATCTTCACACTGTTTCCTATATGAACACTTTTTTGTAAGCATGTTCAGCAGATCTTCATAGCAGGCAATACGAAGTGTATTCTTTTGGTTGTGTTTTGGGACAGGGATTGGGATTTGGGATGGAAACATCCCAAATGTGGTGGTGGGAAGGTGTAATGGTGGTGGGATTGGTGTTTGAATATTGACTGTAATCAAACATTGTAAACTAACTTATAAAACTTAAAAAAATTTTACAAAAAAGTAATGCGGAGTTCATGCCCGATTCAATCAGCTTAACCAATGGCTGAATAAATAACAGTGCTCCTACATTATGAAAAAGAAAAGAAAAGAAAGAAAGAAAGAAAGAAAGAAAGAAAGAAATTCAGCCAGAATAGCTCCATACAACCTCACGCTGAAAGCTTTCTAATTTCCTAATTTTGGTTACCCAATCTTTATCAAACCTATGCATGTGAAAAATACTTTTCCTTGGGTTGCCTGTGGTGAATGAAACTGGACTGCCTGAAAGTTGTGATTTAGCCCCAGAGAACCATGCAGTCACTAAATCTCCAGAGTGTACGGAGAACACAGGAACGTAAATTTATTGTAAGAATGATGAAGGCCTCAACCACGAACTCATTTGCCTTTGCTCTGTATGAGGACTCAGGACCCTGATGAGGAAACTCGACCCCTGCCCACATTTGAAACAGACTAACTCCAAGTCAGCTGTTGCCAGACAGCAGGAGAGGCCACCAGGCAGAGGAGTCTGGGCGATGTGACAGCCATGGAATGCATTCGAGATGTCCTTGAGATGGTCAGTCTCGCTTTGTAACTTTGGTCGCCTGTGAATGTGCTCCAAACCCTGCTCTGAAAAATAATGTGCTTGGGAATTTCTGCTTCTGTGCTCTCCTGCCAGCTGCCT